AGCGGCCTGTTAGCGGACGTGTGTGCGTGGCCAGCAGCGGCCTGTTAGCGGACGTGTGTGCGTGGCCAGCAGCGGCCTGTTAGCGGACGTGTGTGTGTGGCCAGCAGCGGCCTGTTAGTGGACGTGTGTGTGTGGCCAGCAGTGGCCTGTTAGTGGACGTGTGTGGGGGGCCAGCATCCTGAACAGGTTTTAATGGAGCTACCAGATGAAAATGGACTAGGAAGAAATGGCCTGGTGATCTACTTTAGGAAATCAGCCCGTGAAAACTCCGGATCAGAACAGTCAGCCTACGGGGACGGTGCAGGACTGGGCAACCTTCAAGGGTCACCAGGGCCCAGCTCCCTGGCAGTTAACAACAGGATCGCCTGGTGCCGGGGCTGGTTTACTGAGTGACTGAATGATTGAATGAGCATTGTTTTGTTTTCGGTTTTTTGCCTCCTCCAGAAACACAACAAAAAGATACAACATCATGGCCTTCAATGCGGCCGACAAAGTCAGCTTCGCTACCTGGAATCAGGTAAGCTCCGTTCTGCAGGGGCCAAGGGAGGGCCACCCTGGTTCCGGACTTGCTAGTTTGAGTAGCTAACTCAGCAGGCTCTCGTTTTCTCAGCCCTCCTGGAGTGGAGAGATGGCGAGTAAGATTCGGGTCCACCTGCTGGGCATCCTTGCAGTTGACTGAAAGAGAACCTGGCGGTGTCATGCCCACCAGCCCAGTGTCATGATTGGGGTTGGCAGGGGGCTGGCACCGGGTTGGTGATCCGTCCCATTTGGAAGGTTGTGATTTCTTCAGCCACTGCCAGTTGCTTTTGAGTTGACCCCCAATTCTGGGTGGTCAGTGATTGAATGTGTGGAAGTTGATGACCAGACCTTTTTTCTGAGGCTCCTCGGGGTGGACTCTGCCCTTTGACCTTTTGGTCAGCGGCAGAGTTTGAAAGGTGGAAAAGCTCAGCCTGTAATGCCATCTAAGTGTAGGGGACAGTCGAACGCCTACTGCAGAGAGAGGAAAAGGGACAATTCCCAGCAGATCCCTTTTACTGCTTTTGTTCATGGCCTCAATGAAAACATTTTCTGGTTTTTCCTTTTTTCATTGAAATTTTTATCTTGGGACTGGTTAGAAACTTACAAACCACTAGGTTCCCCAAATCACCAAGTGTTCCCACTTCACCCTGTTGTCACCGAGGTCGGGTTCCAGGTCCAGTGGGGTGGAGGGCCCACCCAGTTCGGGACCCTAAGAGCTTGTGCTTCGTGGCCCCCTTGCCCTCCCCAGGCTCGGCTGGAGCGGGACCTGAGCAACAAGAAGATTTACCAGGAGGAGGAGATGCCCGAGTCGGGCGCAGGCAGCGAGTTCAACCGCAAGCTCCGGGAGGAGGCGCGCCGGAAGAAGTACGGCATTGTCCTCAAGGAGTTCCGGCCCGAGGACCAGCCCTGGCTGCTGCGGGTCAACGGCAAGGCAGGCCGGAAGTATGTGGGCCGGGGGCGTGGCAGGGGCAGACTGGTCCTCTCTAGCTGGTGACCACCGTGTCCGTCAGTTGCTCTTCTGTTCCCTGTGCGTGGCAGTACTTCCTGTCTCACAGGCTTCCAAAGGTTCGTGGAAAAATGGAATTTTTGTAAAGTGCCATCTAGTGGATTCCAAGGAGTCCTGGTGTGGTGCTGTAGGATAAGCACTTGACCGCCAGGTCCATTTGCACAAGGGTGGCAGTTCTAACTCACCAGCTGCTCCTTGGAAATCCTGTGCAGGATTGCTGTGAGTCAGAATCCACTTGATGGCACTTACCAACAGCTGCTATTATGTGCCATCGAGTCGGTTACAACCCATAGCCACCCTGTATAGGATTTCCCATGACTGGCTGGTGGGCTTGAACCAGTGACCTTGCGGGTAGCAGTCCAGTGTTTATCCTACAGTGCTACAGCAGGACTCCCTGGCATTAGTCAGTTCCTGATGAACTTGTTTACACACACAGTGCACCAGTCGAGCAATTTCACTGAGTCCGGTTCGTGGACAGGGGGACATTCATCAGCTTTGTCCTGTCACTGCTTCTGTTGGGTCATCACCTCTAGCATAGGCTCGCTGCCCCTCCCAAGCCTTGTCTGGCCTTGGGACCACACTTGGGCCAGTCTTACTAAGATTGTTAGTCTCTGGGCAAAGCTCTACCCTGACGGCGCTGGTTTGTGTGGTTTACTGAGGGCCCTATGGGGTAGCGTTGGTCAAGGGGTAAACCTTGTTTCCAGGTATTAGATTTGGTGCTCCCTCCAGCCTCACTGTGTCCAGCCAGTCTGGTTCCCAAGGGTTTTGTTTTGACTCAGTTCAGACACCCAGTCACTAGCGTCTCCTGGTGACATTCTTAAAAAAGGCCATTCCTGCCTCTTTTTCTGAGTTCTTCTCTGATGAGGACACACCCACAGCCCCCTAAGCCTCCTGTCTACTCATTTCTCTTCTGACCATCAGTGATCTGGGTGACGGTTGACGGAGCAGACTTGTTTATCTGTTCATACACATTTTCTCTTTTGACTAACGGTGATCTGGGTGACAGTTGACAGAGCAGAGCAGACTCGTTCATCTGTTCACACGCATTTTGTTCTGGGACTGGGACCACAGTCCTCCCATTGGAGCATCACTTTCCCATGTCCTCCCTGGGGTTCCGGTTTCCTTTCATTCTCCCCTAACCCTTCTCCCTGCTTTCTGAGCTCTGTCCATGGCAAATGTTGCCTACTGACCTCGTGTGTCTGGTGTTCATTCTGTCAACTGTCTCAAGTTGTCAACTGTGAACAAAGGGGTTTCCATTGGTAGGTGGGCTGAGTGGATCCTGGTACCCGGATGCACAGAGAGGGCCCATGGGGGTCAGCTGAATGATGAGGGTCTCCTGGAGGGAGAGGATGGAAGGCTGTTCTGACATACAGTGTGCCCCGAGCTGGGGATGGTCTTCTGGGCTCCAGGGCTTGTCCCACGGTCAGTGGGCAGGGCCTGGAAGGCTGATGGTGGAAGGGCAGACTGGAGAGGGAGATGAGCTGAAAGGAGGCTCGTAGACAGCAGGATGCTATGGCTGGCTTCTGGGGGCATGGTCAGGGCAAGGTGCTCCCAGCTTCTGGGTAGACAAGGTGGTGGTAGGGGGTGGGGCTGGAAGGTGGCAGTGCTCTGCTCTGTTCGGCTCAGCTCTCACGTCAGTCCCCATCCCACCTGATTCCGCAGCCCACAGCTGGGCCCGCTTACCACCTGACCACCTCTGCATGGGTGGAGGGCTAGCGGGCTGCTTCCATTTCCTAGATACGGAGACTAAGGCCTCATTGCTCATTTCTGCAGAGCGAGAGGCTTGGATTTCCTCAGAAGCTGAGTGGGCTGTGAGTGGGACAGAGGGGGTTGGCCCCAGTCTCCCAGGCCAGGCTGTGATGGTGGCTTCCCACAGGTTCAAAGGCGTGAAGAAGGGAGGTGTGACAGAGAATGCTTCTTACTACATCTTCACCCAGTGCCCTGATGGCGCGTTTGAGGCCTTTCCGGTCCATAACTGGTACAACTTCATGCCGCTGGCCCGGCACCGCACACTCACCGCTGAGGAAGCCGAGGAGGAGTGGGAGAGGTGAGTCAGGGCGGTAGGGTGCAGCCTCTTAGTCTCCAGGAAGATGGGTAAGTCACCCAAGTTGTGTTCCCAAGCCCCAGCTCACTGAGCTCCCCGCCAGGCTGTTCTACCAGGGCAAGGCTGCAGTGGGGTGCACCCACGGAGCCCTAAGAGCCAGTGCTGGTGATGGTTGGGCTGAGCAGTGGGATGGGAGGACCTGGGCTCCCTTGATCTCCTGTCTGTGGGAGGGCACCAACTGGACCAGGGACAGCTGAGAATCACACATTTGACTGTTGTCATCCATGGGATTCTCAAAAGGTGCTTTTTCGGAGGTTGCCAGGCTTTTCTTCCTAGTCTCTTTTAGTCTAGAAATGCTACTGAAATCTGTTCAGGATCCTAGCAGCACACTGATCTCAGCCGAGTGTGGTTGTTGCACGTGAGGTGCTTTGACTGGGAATCAAGCCTTTGTCTTCCATGTAGAAGGCTAGGAACAGAAGGGTGGTGATATGTATTACCTAGACTCTGTTAGCCAGTGAGATAACATCTCGGTTGCAGAGGAGGCTCTGGTATGGCCCCTGTCCCCGCTGCAGGAGGAACAAGGTCCTGAACCACTTCAGCATCATGCAGCAGCGGCGCCTCAAGGACCAGGACCAGGAAGACGAGGAGGAGGACAAGGAGAAGCGCAGCCGCAAGAAGGCCACCGAGCTGCGTATCCACGACCTGGAGGATGACCTGGAGATGTCCTCGGAGGACAGTGAGGCCAGCGGCGAGGAAGGTGAGGTCTGGGGGTGGGGCCTGCCGCATACAGGGCGCGACCGTGCTTCCAGGATGGAATGTGGGTACTGTCTGGAGTCCAGCTGAGCTCTCTGCCTGCTCCCCTTCCCCTACTCCCTTCCCCACAGGTAGCAGAACCCCCAAGGCTGGCAAGAAGAAGGCAGCGCCCACCAAGGCTGGCAAGAAGAAGAAGAAGAAGAAAGGCTCGGACGACGAGGCCTTCGAGGACAGTGATGATGGGGACTTTGAGGGCCAGGAGGTGGACTACATGTCCGATGGCTCCAGGTGAGGTCGTGGGCAGTGGGGGTGGCAGGCAGTGCCCGCCGCCCCGTGTGGCCTGTGCTCAGCCTGGGTTCCCATCTGTCTTGCAGCAGCTCGCAGGAAGAGACGGAAAGCAAGCCCCGAGTCACCCAGCAGGAGGAGCTGCCCAAAGGTAGCTGAGGGGCCTGGAGGGGCCTGGGGCCGGCAGCGGGCTGCCTTGTGCCCACTGACCTCGCCCCTGCCCAGGTGTGGACGAACAGAGCGAGAGCAGTGAGGAGAGCGAGGAGGAGAAGCCACCCGAGAAGGAGGAGGAGGAGGAGGAGGAGAAGAAGGCTCCCGTCCCCCAGGAGAAGAAGCGCAAGAAAGGTGGGCTTGCTGGGCCTGTCCTCCCCGCTGTCCACGGTGGGAGGTCTCTGCCGGCCCCACTCCACCCTGACCCCTCCCATGTGCTGTGCAGACAGCAGTGACGAGTCCGACAGCTCGGAGGAGAGCGACATCGACAGTGAGGCCTCGTCGGCCCTCTTCATGGCGGTAAGGCCCAGCACTGGGGACCACGCAGGGGGTGCACAGGGACCTCTGTTCCCCAACTCACACCCCCGACCCTCGCAGAAGAAGAAGACTCCCCCCAAGAGAGAGCGGAAGCCGTCGGGAGGCAGCTCTCGGGGGAACAGCCGCCCTGGCACCCCTAGCACCGAGAGCAGCGCCACCTCGTCCACCTTACGGGCGGCCGCCAGCAAGCTGGAGCAAGGTAGGCTCTCAGCCCCGCAACCGGTGTGAGCTCAGAGGGGACGCAGTCGGGCAGAGGTGCCAGGCAGTTGTACTTTGCTAAGTGTGATCATCTCGTGGTGGGGGGACCAGACCAGCCCCCCAATGTCCTGCCTCCAGCACAGGCCTGACTCCCAACTGCTTCCCCATAGGCAAGCGGGCAGGTGACACCCCCACGGCCAAGCGGCTCCGGATGGAGGCGGGACCACAGAGTCTGTCTGGGAAATCCACCCCCCAGCCCCAGTCTGGGAAGTCAACGCCCTGTAGCAGGTAAGGTGGCTAGGAGGGGAGGGCAAGGGGATGGCGTCTTCTCAGGGCAAGCCCCACGCTGACAGCCGCCTGCCTCCTGTCCTTCCCTCGGCAGTGACGTGCAGGTGACTGAGGACGCCGTGCGCCGCTACCTGACACGCAAACCCATGACCACCAAGGACCTGCTGAAGAAATTCCAGACCAAGAAGACGGGGCTGAGCAGCGAGCAGACGGTGAACGTGCTGGCCCAGATCCTCAAGCGCCTCAACCCCGAGCGCAAGATGATCAATGACAAGATGCACTTCTCCCTCAAGGAGTGAGCCCCAATAAATAGGTCCTCCTGCTGCTCACTTGCGCCTGTGTCTGCCACCCGTGCTCCATGCTCACCCTGCCCCTGGGACCTCGGGAGCCTTCAGAAACAAAGCCCACACTGATTCTGGCTCATAGCAGCCCGGTTAGGAGAACTGGGCAGCAGGGTGGGCACCTGAGCGCGTTCTTCTGCCAGGAGCCCCAGGACCACCAGCCTAAGCCCCTTGATTACCGAGCTCAGCAGCATGTGGACTTGGCATTTTCCCAGTGCTGTTTTGAGGGTTACCTTTTAATTTTTTCACAAGCTTGGTTCTACATTTATCCAGACTTGCCAGGTGTACAGAGGGATGGCTTTTTGAGTTCACGGACGTGTTTTGCTGGGCACCCCTGCTCGGCTGCTGAGATTGGTGTGAGTCCATCCAGAGGTACTTCACAGGAAAGGGCTGGTGATCTATTTCTGAAAACTCAGCCACTCCCGTGGATCATAGCTCTGTTCTGACAAACAAGGGGCCATGAGTTGGGGGGCCCACTTGACGGGGCTTTGGGTTTTTATTTTTGGGGGGAGGTTTCATGTTGCTGGTAGCAGAATGTGACTGAAGGTGTTCTCGTTGAACCCATTCTGAGTTTTCCAACCAAGGGCAGGGTGCTGGGCCTCTGCCGCATCCGGGCTGGAAAGCTTGGGTGGAAAAGTCTCCCCACCCAGTCCCTGGCTGCCATTTGGGAATGCTTGAGATGTCAGGCTAATGCCTCGGAATGTTCCAGGTTGGTCCAACCTCTCTTCCATCCTTCCGATTCACCTTTTAAGGGCAACAGGAAAAGGGGCTGTGGCCCTTGCCCTGAGGGTCTTGCTCCTGCCCTCCCAGCCTTGCTCTCCAGCCATGTAACCCCAAACCAAAGCTGCTGCTGTGGGGTGGATTCTAACGCACAGCGATCCTGTGTCCGCCGAGAACTCTGCTCTGTAGTGGTTCTGATGGTGGATTTTTTACAAGTAGACTGCTAGGCCTTTGTTCTGAGGTACATGGACAGTGATTCTGAGCAGGAGACCTGGGTTGAAATCTTAGCTGTTTTGTTCATTCTGGTTGCATAACCACCAGGGGAAAGATGAGGTTGTCTGCTCCTTTAAAAATGGAGACTGGGAAATCCTAGGAAACAATTCTACACTGTCCTTTATGGTCACTGAATGGGAATCGAATCGATGGCAGTGGGTTTGGTATTGGGCACATGACTTGGCCTCGAAGTCTCCCGAGTCATCTGACTGCACAGCCCACGACAAACATGTCATGATTTGACCCGGCCGACCCCAGGAATGTTGGCTCATCCTGCCAGCAGTGGCCATCCTGGACTGGCTTCCTCGTTCCCGTGTTGGCCGAGTCCCTGACACAGTGGCTGGGTCACCATGGTTTGGTTTCTAATACTCACTCATTCGGTCCAATACAGGTCCAAGAGCACCTGGTGTGGACAGTTCCAGCAGCGGTCAGCGGTGCCAGGGCTGCGGTGTAATTGCCGTCAGCCCCATGTGTGAAGAGCAAACCAACTGGCCCATGGGGTTTTTGAGGCTGTGACCTTTGACCAGTAGATCTGCAGGCCTGTTTTCCAAGGCACCTTTGGGTGGGTGGTGGGTTCCAACCACAAATGTTTCTGCTAGTGTCCAGCATGTAACTGGGAACCTTAGATACCTGGTTTTTACCGTTTTTGTGGGACTGGGGGTTTTAGGCATGAAAAGCACCTCTTCAGACAACTAGGATTTCCTCAGCCTCAAAAGTGCCTTTGTGGGAGGCACTGCCCCAAACACACCTTGGTGCCCTCACAGGAGTCCTGGTGATAACGGTGAAGTGCCTGAAGTGCCTGGTGGCTAAATGGAAGGTTGGCAGTCAGTGGGAGAAAGACCCAGTAATCTGAATACAAAGGGAGCATCGAAAAGTATGTAGGAAAATAGAATAAAGAAGTTTTCCACGTATTCTAAAAGCCCCCTTGTATTGCAGTCAAGAAGACCCTGTGAGGCATTTCTGTCTCATGGCATCACCAAGTCATGATCCAGCCCTCACTAAATCTGTGTGGGCAGAGTGAGGGGACAGCGGCTCACTCCCAGAAGTGACACAGCCAATTGTCACCAGGACCCATTGGTATTTGGGCTCCCTCCCAGGTCCCTTCTGCAGACAGAACTTCTCCAGGGCTGATTCTCCAGCCCTAGGTGTCCCGTCCTTGGCTGTTCCTAAGCTGCACCCTTTTCCTGTTTTGTTGTTGGCTCCACTGGCCAGGAGACAGACATGATATCTTAATCTCCCCTGAGTGAGCTATGATGGGGCGTCCCCTGCTCCCCACCTGTTGGCACCTCTCAGCATACAGCAGCTCTAGCTGGCACACAAGACAGGGTGCCTCAGCTGCAACACTTGCTAAGTGGGGAAAAGCCCCACTGGGGATCCCATGACACCCCCGTTCTCCCAGCCGATAGTAGGTGGTAGGGTTGAGGGGTGCCGGCCTCCCACTCCCTGGGCTGGGCCCTGGCTGTCACACCATCCTTATAAATCAGGTGGCTGAGGGGTGTCGGAAATGGGCCTGTGGAATGTCTGGATGTGGGGGTGGTGGTGAGCCCTTAACTCTTAGAAGACAGGTGGGTGGGGCAGAAGCTGCGGACTTGGGGGCTGGCAGGGAGAATGACCCGTTCCCCAGCCTGGACAGGGGTATAAATTGAGGGCTTGGGGGTTCTGATGCTCTCAGAACCTGCCTGTCATCATGGCCCCGGGAGGTGTACTGCTCAGCTACATGCTGTCTCTCTGGCTGCTGCTGGATCTGTGTGGGGGTCCCGCTGCTCTGGGGTCCCCAGTGGTGGAATTTGGAAAGTTCTTGGCTGGGCAAGTAGCAGAAGCAGAAGGGACCCAGAGGCCGTGGCTGGGTAAGGACCTTCAAGTCCCCTGATTGCCCACGCCTACACGGCCAGACCCTGCCTGCTGTCAGCTGGCCCCTCTCTCCTGCAGGTACCCGTATACGCCGAGCTGCAGCCAGCCCGTGTCAGCTGCGGAGTCTGACTCTGCCCGTGGCTGAGCTGGGCCTGGGCTACGTCTCAGAAGAGAGGGTGGTCTTCCGTTACTGCGCAGGCTCTTGCCCTCACGGCGCCCACACCCAGCACGGCCTGACGCTGGCCCGACTGCGGAGTCAGGGTCATGTCCATGGCGGGCCTTGTTGCCGACCCACCCGCTACACCGACGTGGTCTTCCTTGACGACCGCAATCACTGGCAGAGGCTGGTTCAGCTCTCAGCGGCTGCCTGTGGCTGCAGCGATTAGGGGTGCCGGGGAAACCAGCTGACTTATTTATTGGAGACTCGGGTGCGGAGTCCGAGCAGGGGAGGTGGGCTGGGGCCTGAAACCACACAATAAAGGAAGTAGTCTCTTGGCTTGGGAACTGTGTTCAGCCTGTGTGAGATTTCACCGGACCCCAGCCCTGGCAGACAGAGTTGTCACTTGTCCAACTTTATTCACAGGCAGTGTCTGCAACAGGTGGGGGAGGGATGGAAGTCAGGAGACTGCGGGGGGCTGTCCAGGCTCCTCTGGCCCCATCTCCTCAGGGGGGGAGCGGCAGATAACAGAGATACGTCGGCCTCGAGGGATCCGACGCTCCCCAAAAAAGGAGTCTTCATCCCGCAGGATCTCGTGGGAGAAGTCATAGCGGGCGGGGCCCCTGGAGAGCAAAGAGAGGTGGTGACTGGGTGTGGGAACATTTTGCAGGCAGCCCTCGGTCCCAGGCCCCTGGTGGTCTGTGGAACGGGTTGTGGTGGCACCGGCTGCCAGGCCTCAGTATGGACGTCAGGCAGGTGGCTGGGGGATGCTGGGCTCATGTTACCTAAGGATGTAGAGGGAGCCCGGCTCCAGCAAGAGTTCCAGCCAGTCTGCGGGCTCCTGGGTGTGCACCAGACGCATGACACTGGATGACAGCAAGGACAGGCCGGCAATGGTGGCTCCGCAGAACTGCAAGTGGGCACGAGTGTACGTCAGGTTGCAGGCACACACCACATCCTACACGGGGAGTGTCCAGGCCCCGGTTCTGCCCACCTTGATGCTGTCCACATGCGGCTTGATGTAGCCTCGTGGCTCCAGGTCCAGAACGTGCACCCGGGGGAGAAGGGCCTGCCCAGGGTCAAAGGCGGCCTCGCGCACGCGCTGCAGGATGGCCCGGCTGGCCTCCGACCAGCGCGACTTCTCTGTCTCCCGGAAGCCGTGAATGGCCTGCAGGAAATGGGAAAGTCACTCCTGAAAAAAGGAAATCGAAGCATGGACGGACAGAATGCAGGATGGTTCTTCCCAGGACACGGGGGTGGGGTGGGGTGGGGGGTGTTTCAAGCATGACTCTATTTAGGCCTCCTCTCCAAATCTCAGGAGTCCTGGTGTGGTACTGTGGGTTAATGCACTAAACTTCAAGGTCCTTTTGAACATGAAGGTCGGAAACCCTCTTCAGAGTCGCTACGAGTCAGAACCGACTCGACGACCCAGATCGCAAGCCTTCTTCCCAGATACCCAGGCCCCAGTCCTTTAGACCCACTCTCTGGCTTCAGTTTAGTTCACGCCCCTACTCCAAACTCAGTTTCAAGTCTCCGCCTCAATTTGATCTCACCCAATCCCGTCTCCATCCTTTACCACTGACCTTCCTAATCTCACTCCTCGCCCCAGCTCCGCCCCTAATCTGGCCCAGGTACACCCCACCAACGTTCTAGACCCCGCTCCAGCTCGACAGGCCGTGCTTCAACGCAACTCTGTCCCAGGACCAACGTTTCAAGCCCTACCTTACCGGGGCCCCTCCCGAGCCCTACACACGGAGATCCAGTGGGCAAACCACCCGAACCAGAAGCAGCGACCAACGAGGCCCCGCCCCAAACGTTCTAGGGCCCGCCCCACACCATACGTCATTAGCTCCGCCCCGGCCCCGTACCGCGTCCCAGTGGTCGTATTCGTAACGGCGGCGGCGTAGGTCCGGCTCTAGTTCCCGGCTCAACGTCTCCTCCTCGGCCGCGGTCAGGAAGCCAGGCCGCACCACGGCTGCGTCCCGCAAGCGGCTCAGCACGGCCGGACCCGAGCTCCGCACCCAAACCTGCCCGGGCAGCGTCCGCAGCGCCAGTCGCCCGCTCCCGGCCATGGCCCCAGAGCCAGGTCGCCGCCGCACCTGGGGTCAGCGGAACGCCCGGAGGCACCTGGTCCCCCGCCTATTGGCTTTCTTCAGAGCTCCGCCTCTCGCTCAGTGTTATTGGCTGCTCCTTGGCTCCACCTCTTAAGTTATGAGCTCTCCTCAGAACCCGCCTCCTCTCCTGCGCTATTGGACGTTACCCACCTTTATAGCTCACTGTACTGGCTGCGACGCAAGTCCATCTGCAGACCAGGTCTTTTAAGCGTTTATTGGCTCTGTGGGATAAGCGCTGGACTGTTATAACAAAGATCGGAGGTTCAAACCCACCAGCTGCTTCTTGGAAACCCTGACTCCAGGCACTTCACAACATTGACAATTGATGTGAAGTTATTGGCAGTCGCAGACTATAGCCCTGTCTTTTCCTCCCCTAATGTGGTCAATACCGACTCCGTGGCACCTAACAACTGTGAGCCTTCGTTCCTCTTGGTTATGAGGTCACTGATGAGTTATCATAAGTACTTACTGACAAATGCTCAAGAAATCCAGTCTGTACTCAGCAAGAGTGAGGGCGCCCAACCCAGACACGGGCAGATGCAGAATTTTATTCCTGGTTTCCCTCTCCCAGTTAGCATGTGATTCACAATCTGGCCCTGATGGTGCCCTGGGCCTAAATGACTGTATTATTTAAAGTTCCTATTCCTAGAACAGATTTCTTCTCCCTCTCCCAATTTATCCTGCTAACATATCCCTGGGTGTGAATCAACAATTTATGTCTGGCCTGGGAATCTCTAGATGGGCCATCTTGAGAATTTCTCACACTGTACTGTAGGGGCGGGGCCAGATTCTGCCTGGGGTCCAAGGTCAGAGGTCATAGGTTTGGGGTCAAGTCAATGCTATGAAGTCTTCTGGGGCTAGAGGTGAAGGGTAGGATACAGTCAGAATGAGATTAAGGGGTCAAGGGTGCAGGGGTTAGGGGACTGAGGCCAAAACCAGGATTATGGGTGGGTCCAAATCTGCAAAATGAGGGTTGCAGTTAAAGTGGGGTGCCCTCAATTTCCCCTCTACAGGTCATTCCCGTCAGCATACAGACAGGCTGGCAAGCCATCCACCTTCAACAAAAGAAGATTTTGCATCCCTTATCGGCGGTCATGGTGTGCTGGCGCGGCGCTGTATGATAAGCACTGGGCTGCTAATCCTAAAGTTGGCATGTGAAGGAGAAAGATGAGGCTTTCTGTTCCTGTAACTTTACAGCCTTGGAAACCCCATACAGGGTTGCTATGAATCGAAACAGACTTGACAGACAACAACATTGAGACATCTTCTGGATTTTCAATCACCTCATGTGCATGTGAAAGCTGGACAATGAACAGGGATGAACGACACAGAACTGATGCATTTGAGTTATGGTGTTGGAGAAAAATATTGAAAGTACCATGGACTTCCAGAAGAACCAATAGATCTGTCTTGGAATACAGAACGCTCCTTCTAAGTGAGGATGGTGAAACTTTTGTCTCTTGTACTTTGGACATCTTGTCAGTAGGGACCAGTCCCTGTTGAAGGACGTCATGCTTGGAAAAGAGGCGTCAGAACGGACTCAACAGCAACATAAAACACTTGTCAGTGTGTCACAACACTGCGGTGGCCTGTGTGTTGCTATGATGCTGGAAGCGATGCCACTGGGATTTCAAACACCAGCAAGGTCACCCATGGTGGATGGGCTTCAGTGAAGCCTGCAGACTGAGACAGAAGGTAGGAAAAACAACCTGGAGATTGACTTCCGAAATTCAGCCAATGAAAACCCTGTGGACCCATGGTCCAATCCACAACTGATGACAGGAATGTAAGGGAACGGCAAGTGTTTTGTTCTGGAATGCGTGTGGGTCGCCATGAGTTGAAGGTCAACTCGATGACAGTGAAAAAAGCATGGGCCTGGGGCTCGGCCTATGCAATCCAAGGGGAGCAGCGAGTGAAGGCACACTCATGGGACAAAGACCATGAAGATTTAATTTAAAATCACAGTGTCTCAGCCAGGCCACCCCTAAACCCAAAGTTCCTCAGGGGAGTCGGCCTGTAGCCTCAGGCTCTCTCTCAGGAGCTTGCTGGGGTAGGGTCTACCACCGCTGTCACTGTCGCTGTCGCTGCCGCCACCACAGGCTCCTTCTGTACCAGCGCTGGCTCATCCTCTCCGTCCTGGGGCGGGTGGACCAGGACCTTGTCCAAGATGCCAAACTCCTGGGCCTCCATGGGGCTCATGTAGCGGTCCCTCTCCATGGCCGACTCTGGAGGGGGAAGAAGCACACACGGGGTTAGGAGCCAGGACCCTGGAGCCAGGTTTGGAGCCAGGTATGATACGCATCTGGCTGTTGTCGGGTTGACCCCTGCTACTAGTGACTGCATATGTTTCAGAGTAGATGCATCTATACATCCTCAACAGCCAGCACTGGAAAACACAAACGGTTAAGCGCTCGACTATTTGCTGAAAGGTGGGTGGTTCCGGGCCATACAGAGGTGTCACAAAAGAAAGGCCTGGCGTTCTGCGTTACAACCACCAGCATCTAGAGGAACCTGGGCTAAGCACTGGAGTGCTAACTGCAAGGTTGGCAGTTCCAACCCACTAGCCGCCCTGAGGGAGACAGATGAGTCTTTCTGTTCCTATAAAGATTTATAGCCTCGGAACCCCTAGACAGTGGCTCTGAATCAGAGATGACTCCATGGCAGCGAGAGACCAGCATCTAGTGGTTGGCAGCCAGGATGCTGCTGGAACAAACACCGTGTAGTACACAGGAGGGCCGCACCAGAGAATGACCCAGCCCAACACAGCCACTGTGCCAAGGGGAGAAACCTTGGCACACACCACTGTCTGTCTCGTTGTCTTTGTATAGCTTTTTCAAGTCTCTACTTCACAGATACCTAAGTAGGTAATCTTTTAGGGGGCCCATATGATTGGCACCGTTTTGTGGACCTCTTTTTGTTGGTGTCAAGGACTCCACCTCACCTGTGGATGTTGGTCATGTACCCTGCTATTGTGCTGACTCCTTTTATTCATTCCAGCTGCTTCCTTGTGGAACCTATGGGACTTTCTACGTATGGGATCATCTCGTCTGTGGGTAGGGGTAGCTTGATTTCTTCCTTACCAGTTTATTTCCTTTCCTTGCCTATTGCTCTGGTGAGAACTTCCAGTTTAACATGGGATAAGGGTGATGATGAAGGGCATCCCTGCCTGGTTCTCATGTAACGGACTAGCTGGCACACACTCCTGTGTGAGGCAAGGGGGCAGAGCAGCGGGGGCACTCACCAATCACCTGCAGGCTCTGTTTGGTGTGTTTGGCGTAGATACTGTACAGCTGCTTCTTCAGTTTCAGGATCTCTTCCGCTTGGATGGCAATGTCTGTGGCTTGGCCCTGGAGGACGTCCCACAGAATAGAAGACAGCCGTCAGGGTCAGCCCTGGCCTTCTTGGGTCTCAGGCTTCTAGTTTTCCAGAGGTAGGACCCTCCACATTCCACCATCTGGGCCTTTATTGGGGGGTGCTTTCTGACTTCCACCCACTGGTCGCCCCCATCTGTTCGCACCCCCATCCCTGCAGCAGCTCAGAATCTGGCACTCACCCGGGCACCCCCAGACGGCTGGTGGATCATGATGCGGGAGTTGGGGAGCGAGTGGCGCATGCCCGGTGAGCCGGCAGCCAGGAGCAGGGATCCCATGCTGGCGGCCTGGCCCACACACCACGTGCAGATGGGATTCAGGATGTACTGCATCGTGTCATAGATGGCCAGGCCCGAGGTTACCACGCCGCCTGCCGGAGCACAGAGCCAGTCCTCAAAACCAACCCTGTGGCTGCTGAGTCCATGGGTGTCAGAGGGGGGCTTCCAGTGACCAGTCTCGGGGAAATAGCTCACCAGGTCTTATTTCTACAGTGCCGCTGGGTGAGTTTGAACCTCCAACCTTCTATACAGTGCCACTGGGTGGGTTTGAACTTCCACACTATGTGCCCACCAGGGACCTGGTACATCATGTTGTTGGGTGCTGTCAAGCTGGTTCCAACTCACAGCGACATCATGTGACAGAGTAGAACTGTCACATGGGCCTTTCCTGGCTGTCATATTTACAGGAGCAGATCGCCATGCCTTTCTTCTGTGTGGTGCCTCCAGGTGGGTTTGAACCACCAACCTTTAAGTTAGTAGTTGTTGTTAAGTGTCGTCCAGTCGGTTCCGACCCACTGTGACCCTGTACAGCATTTCCAAAGCTGTAAATCTTTACAGGCGCAGAAAGCCTCATCTTTTTCCTGCGGAACAGCTGGTAGTTTTGAACTGCTGACCTTAAGGTTCGCAGCCCGATTCGTAACCACTATGCTACCAGTGCTCCTTAAACAAACAAAAAACCCCCAAACCCATGGCCATCGAGTTGCTTTTGACTCACAGCGCCCCTACAGGGCAGGGCAGAACTGCACCTTAGGGTATCTGAGGCTGTAAATCTTTATGGGAACAGAAGGCCTCAGCTTTCTCCCACGGAGCAGCTGGTGGGTTTGAACCACCGGCCCTGCACTTAGCAGCCCAATGCTTAGTTCACAGCACCACCAGGTCTGCAGTCTATCACAAACTGTGGGCACCAACCAGGGTCCTTGAAACTGGGGGTCCCGAATGCAACTGTCTCTGGGAGTAGGAGGAGACAGAAAGTTTGTGGGGTGGGAGGACACAAAGGTGATCTCTTAGTCCAGAGTCAGTGCTCCCAGGATGATGCCAGTGGAGCCTGGGGGATGGATGGGTCTACTACATTTTTCAGTCCCGCTAGAATTCAGTGCTCAGGCCTGGGTAACATATCATTTGAGTGACCTTGGGTCCCTGGGTGGTACAAATGGGAACTGCAATGTCAGCAGTTCAGGCTCACCCAAAGGTGCCTCGGAAGAAAGACCTGGCAATCTCCCAGAAAATCAACTATTGAAAAACCCACAGGGCACACATGGGGTCACCATGACTAGGGGTTAACTCAATAGCAAGTGTCCAGATGTTGGTTGAATCTACCCAGAGGCATCTCAGAAGTCCTGGTGTGGCGCTGTAGGATAAGCACTAGACTACAGGTAGTTTTAAATAGTAAGGTTGGCGATTCAAACTCACTAGTCGCTCCTCGGAAACCCTATACAGGGTCACTATGAGTCAGAACTGACTAGACAGCACTTAACAACAAATCTACTTGTGAGAAAACTCAGCCACTGAAAAGCCCACGGAACACACTTCTACACTGATACACACACACATGCGCTTGTCAGGAGTTGGAATCGACTCAATGGCAACTTTTTTCCTTCTGGATCATTAAAAATCTTTTTTGGGAGCTAGGGAAATCAACCAACTTGAAAATGTTGACACTGAGGTCAAATTCGTTGTTTTTTTAAAAAAGAAACAAGGCAAAACTCGGTATGGGATCAAAGAGGCCACGTCCTTCCAGGTGAATTGAGCTACCAGTACCAGTGTGTGATGCGGACTTAGCCTTTGGGATTCCGAAGACTCCCGGGCGGCGGCTCACCAGGGCTATTGATGTACATGTGGATGGGCTTTTTGTTGCTCTCGGACTGCAGAAACAGCAGCTGGGCGATCACCAGGCTGGCCAGACTGTCGTCAATCTGGGGGGTGGAAGCGGAGGTTCCCAGATGGAGTGGGAAAGAGCTTCAGCATGGGCCCCAGGGGACTGGAGAGGGGTCAGAATAGCTGAGACTCAGGGATGTGGGGGGAAGAGGAATGAAGAAAGGGAGGAAGGTGTCTTAGGGAAAGGGAGCTCAGAAGGCTTGGGGAAGGGGTGCAGCGGGGGTCGCGATGTGAGAGTCCAGATAGGGGGTTTGTTATGGGATGGGGGAAGGGTGTCACGAGTAGAAGCGCCCTGGTGGCACAGTGGGTAAACTCTGAGCCGTGAACCGAAAGGTTAGCGCTTCCAAGCCACGTGCTTCCGTAACGATTTCGTTTTGAAAACCCTATGGAGCAGTTTTGCTGTCCTACAGGGTCGCTAACAGTCGGATTCCACAGGCAGGCAGTGGCAGTGGTCAAGAGTAGGGGCGGGGTTCGGGACAAGAATGGGGACTAGGCGTGGGGAATTCAGGGTCAGAGGCCAAGGGTCCGAGGTGGCCGAGGAGAGGGCACATAGTGGCAAGGCAGGAGAAGGGGCGGGTCCGGGTGCGGGGCGCTCACCGGCCCCATGACGCACACAATACGTTCCCGCAGCAGCCGAGAGTAGATGTCATAGGCGCGCTCTCCGCGACCCTAGGGTAGGGAGAAGCAGGTGAAGGTAAAGGGGTGCTGGTTGCCCCTTCAGCCAGCCCAGAGCCCACGGCTCTTGTTCCTGCCCGGCCACCGTACCGTCTGCTCAACCACGATGGGAATGAGCGGGAGAGCCCGCGCTACTGTCGAATGTAGGCTTCGCTGCGGGGCCAGACCGGGCTCGAGGATCCGCTGAGGCAGCCGCCGCAGTAAGAAGCGGGCGGCGAGGCGAGGCCCCAGTGTGGGCCTCTTGCCTGCCGCCACCAGGACCCCCTCCACCAAAACTCCGGGCCACATTCTGTCGCTCGTCCGTCCGGCTTCCGTCCGATGGCGGAACTACAACTCCCGGCGTGCCTCGCGTGCACTGAGCCGGCTCGTTAGGCGGCCTACTTCCGGGAGATTGGGCAAACACGGTTAGGGGGCGGGTATTACGGAGGGGAAGCCAGAGATGGAAATTGCATCCAGGCGGAGCCGGGAAAGTTTCTTTCAGTTCGAGTCCCTTTCCCGACGGAATCGTTACTTCCCCCACCCCCCACCCCCGTCCCCCCCTCTTTTTTTCTGCTTTTCACTTTGTATTTTTAAAATCAGCTCCAAAGTGTCTACAACTGAGTTTGAAAGTGGGAGCCCAGATAGACCCTGGCCTCGAAGGAACCCCTCACCCAGTCATTTCCCGACATCGATGGTCAGAGGGAGGGAGTTCACGGGTGGGTGTCACGGGAGATGGGTCTGGAAAGATTTTCTAGGAGGAGCGAGGTATTTGAGCTGGGCTTTGAAGGATAGATAGGAGTTTGTTGGGTGGGGAAGAGAATTGGCAGAGTGGGCCTGGTAATGTATGGGATCTCTCCCTTCCTCCAGAATTTGTCCCCCCTCCCCCATCTTTCAAACCACATGTCACTTTCTTAGAGTTGTCCCTCACTTTATCCTCAGCCTAGGCTAGGCCTGACATACAGTTAAGTCCCTCGAGTCATTTCTGACTCATAGCAAGTCGGTATAAGATTTCCGAGGAGTGGCTGATGAGCTTGAACCGTCAACCGTGTGTTTCAAACTGACCTTGCAGTCTAGCGCATTAACCCACAGCGCAACACCAGGAAACACAGTAGCTCATCAAATAAACAATGAACCAAGAAGCGAAGAGGTGCTAGACCAGCGGGGAGCTTAACAGTGGGGAACTTTGGAGGCTCAGCCATCAAATTGCTGTGTGACCTTAGGTGAGTTCCTTACCCACTCTGAGTCTGAAAGATGGCAGGGGTCAACCCCGTTGCAGAGGCACCATAAGGAAACTGCCTGAGTTCACTAGTTGGGTGCTCCCGAGCCTTTGCTTCCCAATCTGTAAAATGGTGGTAACCTCTTGTAAGTCAGAGTAGATCGCCAGACCTGTTCCCAAGATGCTTCTGGGTGGATTCTATCCACCAACCTTTTTGGCTGGTAGAGTGCTTAACCAAGGGATTCCTTCACATCTGTAAAAATAGGATAATAATAACTATCTGGAGTCTTGGTGTGGAGCTGTACGATCAGCACTGGACTGTGAACCATAAGGTTGGTGGTTCAAACCCGCCAGCCGCTCCTCAGAAACCCTATATAGGGTCACTGTGAGTCGGAACCAACTAGACAGCACTTAACAACAGCTTCCTATGGTGGTTGTGTATTAGGTCCTCAGAATGAGACCAGGGGCGTAGTGAATGCTCAGTTTGTGCCAGCTATTGAGAAACATGGAGTCCTGGTGTGGTGCTGTGGGCTAATGTGTTCAGACTGTAAAGTCGTTTGAACTGCAAGGTTGGTGGTTCAAGCTCACCAGCTGCTCCTTGGAAACCCTATATAGGGTCGCTATGGGTCGGAACTGACTCGACGGCACTTAACAACAACAACATTAAGAAACACGGAGGTGTCCTGGTGTGGTGCTGTAGGATAAGCACTTGAACACAAGGTCAGTGGTTCAAACTCACCAGCTGCTCCTC